TACTCAGTTATACCTCTTGATCTCTGGTTGACCTAGTGATGTTGTCAAGGTCTTACCTTTATGCCTGAAAGCTGTTGTATCTGGATGGGAGGAACAGGCTCAAACTCATTACTGGGAAAACCTGGGTATGGATGACGGCCTAATGCTGGGAACTTTCTATCCTTGGTCCTGAATGGGACAGCACTCCTTCATTCAACAGCAATGTACAATGTGTGCATCTTTTGGACTCTTAGCTCTTGTTCGAGGAATAGTGATAGTTGTGTCCAGGAAGGTCTTTGCACAAATCTAACTTGTGCAGCTCTTGCTCCCATTCCAGAACTCAGAGGAAATACTCTTACAATCACTCATGCTTTGGTCTTCTTCAAGTGGGCAATTGCAATGACCTCTACATGATGGTTCCCTTGAAGATTACTCAGAAGTGACATTCGGTCCACTGTGCAGCAGCTTGATCAGTGATTGGCAGTTCTTACTGTGTCCATATAAACCTCTGCTTCATGAGCTGCACTGATATATCAATAAGCTTCCTATTGCAGTTCAGAGTGCTAGTTATTGCCTACAAAGGCCACTGGCCTAGCTCTCTGAATGACTGTCTATCTCCCATAGTGTCTGTCCATCCTGTACAATCAGACAGAGTTGACTTGTGATTAAGCAGGGTCACCTAGCAAATTTCAGGAAGCAGCTGTCCTTTGTTCCAGTTCCTGCTGTCCTCTGCAATAGCTCCCTCCTATCTGCTTCCCACTCTATTCAACCCCCCATCCTACCTGCCATCAAACAAGCCCTAAAAATGTAACTCTTCTTTCAGGTCCTGAGTTAAGGTGTCTGGAAGGCCCCTCTAAGTTGAGGTGGTATGAGAGATGTTTTTGCTTTTTTTAAATTCTTCCCTTGAGCTAATTTTGTGGGTTTAAAACCCCCCCGATTAGATTGGGTTCTTTTTAACTGTATGAAGTCACCCAGAGGTTTTTTGGAATTGGATGCCCTAGAATAATTTTTTTTGTTGGTATTGGTGCTGCTGCTGCTGCAGTGAATCACTACAACAAACATTTTTCTGTGGTACACTTGTTCAAGTTGTCTCAAAGATGCTTTTTCACGAGGCAACTGGACTTTCTTGTTTTTCTTTGAAGACGTTTCACTTCTCATCCAAAAAGCTTCTTTAGCTCTGACTGGATGGTGGGGAAAGGAAGGATTTATACTCCTTGCAGTGAGAATGCCAAAGAATGCAAATGACCAGCTGTCTGCAAGGAGTATATAAATCCTTCCATTCCCTACCATCCAGTCAGAGCTGAAGAAGCTTCTTGGATGAGAAGCGAAACGTCTTCAAAGAAAAAACAAGAAAGTCCAGTTGCCTCGTGAAAAAACATATTTGGGACAACTATGACTTGGATGATTGAGAATGTCCATAGACATTTGTTCAGGTTACAGTAGGTTTTATTTTTTGAAGTAGTTGCTAATTGAATCTTATATTATTTTCTTTCTCTGCAGCTGAAAACTGCAGAAGAACTCATGAAAATATTCACCAGAACCACAGAAGCCCAGGAGATGGCAGTTCTGACTAGCAATGATCCGTCTACTGCCAGGGAACAGCTGGAATCTGCCTTGCTAGAGATTTCAAGAACAGCAGGGCTACCTGAAATAGCAGGTAGGAAAGCTAAGGCAGGTGTGTGTATATATTTAGATACTGTCTCCATTGTAATGAAATCTGTCTACCTCTTAATGTGGCCATTTCTCTCTTCAGATGAAGGCCAGCTGTCTAAACTCCGTGTGATCCCCATCCCTGTTGCCCGCTGTTATGTGTACAGATGGGATAAGGATAATTTTGGTAAGCTTAAAGTCTGTAGACCAGTTTACATGCACAACTTAATAATGTTTTCAAAGGGGAGGTAGAATGGTTTCATAAGCCTGAAATAAAGTAGGAGACTTGGGCCCAACTTCTTTAAACCTAAGACTGATCTTGATTTTTTTTAGAAACAGAGAAAGGATATATAAAAGTAGAGCCTGGTATTATCTGATTAATTAAACTACTAATATCAATATCTCTGCTTCCTGGAGATGACAGAAGTCATAGACAAATGACATCTTCAAGGGTGTATCACAAGTAAAGACTGCTTTAAGCTGTTAGGATGTTTGTTACATCTTATTTTGTATCTGCCTCCTTGTTACAGATATCTTGAATGAGGTACTAGACAAAGAAGTGGACTATCCAAAACCAGATCTTTTGGAGGATGAAGAGGAGGAGGAAGAGGTTGACAATTGCTTTGCAGAAAAAGACTGCCTATTGTCCACCCTTGCCTCAGTCACAAAAGACTCTATGTACTCAACATTGTCAGAAGATGACCCATGTGACTCACAAGTGTCTGTCATCTCTGCTCTTTCCAAAAACTCTGAGCTCTCCTTGGCCTCTAAGAAGTCCTTGAAATCTTTTGTCTCCAGTCTGAAAGATTCTATGGATAGTGGCTATGTGGAAGACAGCGATGACAACTCTTTAGATTTGACAGGACGCTTAGATCTGAAGGAAGAAAAAGTATCACACAGGCATCGGTACCGGCTGAGCAACAGGCTATACAAATTGTTTAAGAGCAAGAGCCAGATGATTTTGGGCAGAGATCTGAGAGATGTTTCTGACATAGCCTCGTTGTCATTGCCGTTACGTCGAGCAGAGAGTCTTTGCAATCCTGTAGCCAAGAACCGTATCCCTGCACGATCCCGACGGGCACAGTCACTGCCACAGCATATGCTGAGTGCCACGCTTTTGCAGACCCATATAGCACAGAACACTTTTGTCCAACGCAGGCCCTTGTTGAGCTGCGATGAAGATGCAAAGATCTCAACACTGCGAGTGGTCGTATTTGGTTCTGATCGCATCTCAGGGAAAGTGGCCCGGGCTTATAGTAGTCTGAAGTAAGTAGGGGGGATTGCTTTTTGATAACTTGTCTCCTGTCCTTTTCAAAGCTCTGGTTTTATTGCTAGTATCAAACTTGAGCACACAGGGACCAACCCTATGTAGTATTTAGAAGACCGGTGTTCCCGTAGCTTAGCTTCTCTGTTCGTCACCTCAGCGAATTTTTTTCTGAGGACTTATGCCGTTACATCTTCCATTTATATCATTCACGATGCTTTCATACAAATAGGTGATAAAAAGGGGGTGTCTGAAATAGGCTTTATGCTTTTTCAGTACCTACTGTGTCTGACTAGAGGATAAGGCCCACTAAACTTCTGTTCTGGACCATTGCAATGTGCTTTGTATGGAATTGCTTTTGAAGACCATTTGAAAACTTCAATTGATTCCAAGTATGGCGGCGCTTTGGGTTTAAAGAGTGCTATGTGAGATATAAATTGCTGCCATTAGTTGTAATGTTGCATATGTTAGGATTTGTCTATTATGTCATCCTCTTCATTTTTACCATGGATTGTTTATTTTTTGTTGATGGATGTTAGTAAATAGAATCAATCAATCAATCAATCACTATCTGTTTGCAAGCAAATGGCCACTGCATAGCATTTTCTTCATATATTCTTATTCTCTTTTTTTTACAGATCTCAAGAAAGCAGCTGTCCCTGTTTAACTCGGTACTGTAGATTGCAATTTTTTTATGTCCCTGTGAAGAGGAGCAATCCTACCTCATTTGCACTGACTTACCCTCTTCTTTCATCAGGAAGTCCTAATTCCCATGGCTCTGGATCAACGGTAAGCATCCTGGGCAAAGTTGGAACTGATGCTTATATATTACATTGTGTAATACATAAAATTAAATAATTATTTGTTTATATGAGGTGCAAATAGAATTCATCCAAATAGTTCTTGAGGAACTTGAATATGAATTCTGTTATTCGTTTAGCAAAAAATATATACTATGTGACTAAAATTGGTTTCTGTACCAAAGAACTGGGAATTGGACAATATGTTTTAAAAAGGGATCAAGAAAATTACAGCTGGTATTTGTGAAAAAAAATACTAGGTTTAATTAGCAAGCATACAGAACCAGTATTCTTGCTGAAGAATAAATAGCAGGACTTCTATAACAACGTATATAGGTTTTTGGACAATGCCAACAAACATAAATTGGAGAGATATAATCAACACTACAGGTAGTCCTCAACTTACAAGAGTTCATTTAGTGACCATTCAAAGTTACAGTGGCACTGATAAAAATGACTTATGACCATTTTTCACACTTATGACCTTTGTAGCATCCCCATGGTCACATAATCAAAATTCGGATGCTTGGGAACTAGTTTGTATTTATGACCGTTGCAGTATCCTGGGGTCATGTGATTACCTTTTGCAACCTTCTGACAAGTAAAGTCAGTGGAAAAGTTAGATTCACTTAACTACCATGTTACTATCTTAACAAAAACAGCAATTCACTTAACAACTGTAGCAAGAAAGGTCATAAAAATGGGCAAAATTCATTTAACAAATGTCTCGCTTAACAATGGAAATTTTGTTGTAATTGTAATTACGACTCAATTGTGGACAAAAGTCAAGGACTATCTGCATTTACTTGGACTGTCTAGAGCAGTGGTGTCAAACTTGCAACGTCACGTGACGTGTCGCGATGTATCACGCCTTTTTTCCATTGCCAGCAATGGGGTGGGTGTGGTTTTGCCATGATGCATCCAACTTGACACCACTGGTCTAGAGCTTTGGCAGAATTCCTCAGCAAACATTATTAAGTAAACTAAGTGGATATGACTCCTTTCCAGCTTGGTGGCCTGGGGGGGGGGACATGTGAGTGGCAGGCACATGTGTGCGTGCACAGCTTTATTTGTGCAAACGGCACGAGCGCCCTCCACTCTCGCGAATGGAGCTTCGCGCGTGAGCAGAGGATGCTTGTACTCATGCATGAAGCTCCACTCATGTGAGCAGAGGACACTTGAGCAGAGGGCGCAAGTGTAGCTTTGTGCGTGCGTGCAAGCGCCCTCCACTTGCGTGACTGGAGCTTCACACACGTGTCCTTGCCCATTTCTCCTGTGGCCTGGTTTTGAACAGGCCACAGCCCTGTAGTAGGCCGCAGCCCAGTGGTTGGGAACCCCTGTTCTAGGAGGCTTTCATTAAGACTACTGCTTTTCAATTTATTCATAAATTATCTGGAAAGAATGATGAGTCATGTGATGGGCAGGTTTCACTTGATAAGGTAACTTTTAATTGCTAAGATAATTAAAACAAGAACAACAAAAATGGGGGGCAGTGAAGTGATAACCCCCAATAGGAATTGACATGGAAATAGCTCGTTCACTGCAAGCCAATTTAAACTGATAAATATGGAGGTGAAACAGTCATGTAACTAAGGATGGCAGCCTGATATTGGAGATGGAATTGATTAAGTAGAAAAGATTGAACTGGTACAGCTGTCAGTGGCAGCATTGACCCAGGACGCTTTATTCTGGGAATCAGTAGGAAAGGATTAAAAACCAAAGCAACCAATATTACAGAAATCTGTGGTGCAATTACCCTCAAAACACTGTATATACTTCTGGCTGTTACATTTAAAGTAAAAGGTTCAATTAACTCATTTCTAAATTATTAAGGACCTGAAGCAATTGTTATTAAGAAGAAAGATTGGGGGGATTCTAAATTATTGTATATACAGTATCTCATATTACAGTTGTACAGTATATCTATCCACAGAATGGCACAAATGAACAGGGAAATTTGCCCCATTCATCATTATGGTAGAACTGAGGCCATTCAGTGTAACTGAATCAGGAAATACTTTTTTAATGCAATACCTGGTTGAATGTTCAAAACTATGTCAAGACAGTGGTCCCACCTGGATTGCTTTAGAAGAGATTTAGACCGATTTACAGGTATACCTATGTGAATGGACGCTAATTGTGCTAGATCCGTGGTGGTGAACCTATGGCATGGGTGCCACAGGTGGCACACAGAGCCCTCTCTGTGGGCACCCGCGCCATCGCCCCAGTCCTAGGCCTTCAGCTGGGTTTTATAAAACCTTTTCGCTTTAGGCCTCTGCTGTCGTGTGCAAAAAAAAAAAGGTTCAATCAATCAATTTCAACTTCTTGCAGGAAAAAAAAATCTCACAAAGTTGGAATTGATTGATTGAACTTTTTAGTCCCACCCAGTCTGCCATTACCACCGAAGCCACGTACATCCAATGGACCACGCCCACTCAACGGGCCACACCCACCCAATGGGCCACGCCAACCTGGCACCTGACGATACATAAGTGAGTTTTGGGTTACAGTTTGGGCACTTGGTCTCTAAAAGGTTCGCCATCACTGTGCTAGATCTTTATCAGGATCGGTATAATTGTTGCTCCAGGATGTGAGTGGAAATATGCTACTACACTCACATCCTTTCTCTGTGCTTTCCAGAAGCATCTGGTTGGCTGGTTGGTGAGAACAGCATGCTGAACAAGATGAGTTTTTGATAAATACCTTAAGAGCATGTCTCTTTATAGCAAAAATTCAGCTGATATAAGTGAATTTAAAGAACATAGTCTCTGTGTTTGGTGGCAAGATACCATGAATGTGATAGAAGTCACCGCTGATCCCTTCTCCAAGTCATGCTTGCTTCCGTGCATCCCACATTTGGGGTGGGTGAGTTCAGCAGTATAGGAAGAGTTAGTTAGGAAACAACGAGCAACTTTGTATGGAATTTTTTTTAGCAAGTGTATAGTAACTTTCATAACCAAACAGTTGCGGTTCATTAATATGTATCTCTATAGATGAGGAAGTTGTTTGAAAACTTTGGATTTTGGAAGCTCGCACTGTGAGGTGACCTGGCTGGAATGCATTGAGTTAGGCTGTATGCTTCTTATAACAAATCCAGCTAGATTTGAACAAGGATTCATATGCATCTGTCTTTTTAAAAAAGTGGTTACTGTGTTCCTAGCATAATAAGAATTTCCGTTTGGATCTCTGAGCATTGCGGCTATGCTTTGGTAAGGCTGCTATTGAAATGTGTTTCTTTGATTTCAGGATCCAAGTATGGGAGGCACAGAGAGCAGCACAAATGATATCTCATTCTACATAGGTATGCTGGATCCCTGGTACGAACGCAATGTTCTTGGGCTAATGAATCTCCCCACCAACGTTTTATGCCAGGTACATCCTGAATTCTGTATTGCTTAGCAGGCATTATGTTATCCAGTAATGCACTCCGGGCCCAAATTCGGTCAAACCTTTATCCTCAGTCACCATTGCCTAAACATTGGAATTCTATCAAAGAACGAAAGAGTAGATCTAGGGAAATAATGGGGAATGCCATGCAGAAAGTAAGACAAGATAGAGGCAGATTTGTGATAATGTGGTAGTGGAGAGCAGAGATCTCCTTTCTATTAACATATTAAGATCCCTTTTTTGAGTGTTCAAGCTTATTGAAACATAAGGTAATTCTCCTTTGCATCTCTGAAGCCAAATGTTACATTAAACCCCATTCATTTACTCAATAAGATCCTCAACATGTGGCGGCCTCCTGCCATGGGATCACATAAATGCTAAGTTTCTTTGGGAACTGACTAGCATGCATTGCCCTTGTGCGTGACAAAGAGTTGCTTAAAATTATCCAACTTCAAATACTTCAAACCTTCTATCTATTTGGATGAATTTGTGTTCTTTTGTATTGACTTGCAAAGTCTCTTAGCTTTAGGCTCTCCACTTAGCAAATTTTCTCTAAAAAAAAGTCAGAATGTTAGGGGAAACAAACTCAGAATCCTTTCTTGTCTTAGGGAGGTATTATGAGGTAGAGGGCAAGCAGGAACCTGTGGGAGAAATACTGAACTGCGGTGTTTAGATGGAAGAGAATTGATGATTTTTTGTCTATCTGTAGCAATCCATTAAGCCAGAGGGAGAGTCTTCAGAGGAAACAGCCACCCAACTTCCCATCCTGGCTGATATGATTCTTTATTACTGCCGTTTTGCTACCCACTCTGTATTACTCCAAGTCTATCAGGCAGAGGTAAGAATGATAAAAACCAGGGATTGGTAAAGGCATGTATTAAATAACAGTAATAATTATTAGTAGTATGTTATTGTTATTCCTGCAGTCCCATGCAATAGGCCAAGAATATCTTCAATTTCACACAGCATATTTTATTTTGTGTTTGGCCAGGTTATCATTTTTCTATGTGGCAGAAAAAGTCAGACCCAATAAAACATTTTTTCTTCTTGAGAATTAGAAGAGGGGATGTCTTAGCTAAGACATGGCTCTAATGGGCCAATCTTGTTTTTAGATCATTTTAGAAATCTCCTCAGCTGCCTGATTCATTCTTCTTCCCAAAACACAGTTGGTGATTTCTTCTGCCTTGGCCTACTTATAGAAGAGCTGACTGCCTCAACACACATTAAATGTAGTCTCTCTGTTCTCTATTGCAACAGTCTCTGAAAGTGTGTATTTAAATCTTGTGATTCTGTGGTTCTAATCCATATTTGGTCCTATAAACCAAATTTGATTTGTTTGTTAATTAATTTGTTTTTAGCAAAAAATAGTCTCAAAGATACAAAGCAAGGTGTGTGTGTGTGTGATTTGCTTTGGTTTATCTTGAAGGAAAATATTAAACGGTCTCTTCCTCTGAATTTCACAGCTCACTTTCATTGGGGGAGAGAGAAGGACTGAGATTTTCATTCACTCCCTTGAGTTGGGCCACTCAGCAGCTACGCGGGCCATCAAAGCCTCAGGTAAGGCAAAAGAGGCCCATTGTGTGATCACTTTGTGCTCAATTTGGGGATGGGGAAAAATTCAGTGATGCAAAGGAGAAAAACCAAAGCTCTGCCTGCAAAGAGCAACCAAATTGATAACCCAGACAGGACTGTTATCTACTGAAGAGTTTTCTCTTCAGCAATTACTAGCATGAAATTCATGGTAAAGACAGACCTGATAAAATAAAAGAGGTCCTTTGTAACTAAATCAATTAATAGGCAGGCCAGTAACTCTTTGGTCTTGTTTTGGAGAAACACTAATCCACCCAATTCCATTGCTGCCATCTTGTTTCACTGAAATGTTTGTAAAAGCTCACTATAGAAAGCAGAAAAGAGGATTGTTTAGTCCAGGGCTTTTCAACCTTTTCACCCATTGTACCACTTTTAGGATATGGTAATATCCGAGTACCACCAGTTGCCTAGCAAGGTGTCAAAAACTTGATGACCAAAAAAAAAGAGATAAAGTACAGGTAGTCCTCGACTTACAACAGTTCGCTTAGTAACTGTTTGAAGTTACAATGGCACTGAAAAAAGTGGCCCCCAAGCCACAGCTGAGCAAGACACCTGCCTGCCCGCCCGGCGGCGCTCTTTCTCCTGTCCGAGTTTTTCATTGTTGTGAGCATTTCTGTTAAGGATTGGCAGTGCGGGTGGTGTGGTGTTTGGTTTTTATTCCCCCCGTCTGTTGGGTGGTTGCAGCAGGTTTTGGTCACTTCACATGACCCTGGGACACTGTGACCATCATAAATATGAATCAGTTGCCAAGCATCTGAATGTAAATCACAGGACCTTGGAGATGCTGCAACATTCCAGCTGATCGGCGCTTCTTCTGGGCTCAGCAGAAACACCAGGATCAGTGCTGAGCTCCAGCTGAAGCCTGGTGCTGATCCTAGCACTTCCACTGAGCCCTGACAGTCCCGAAGAAGCGCCAATCAGCTGGAAAGCGGCACTGATCCTGGTGCTTCCGCTGAGCCCTGACAGCCCCAAAGAAGCACTGATCCTGGTGCTTCCGCTGAGCCCTGACAGCCCTGCAGCTCCAGCCATCTCTCGCTCAGGCTTATGCAGTGCTGCCACTGGTTCAGCTCATTCCCCTCCCCCGCTACCACTTTTCTAGGATGGTTGCGTACCACCTGCCAGGTGCCAATGTACCACAGGTGGTACCCGTACCACTGGTTGAAAAGCCCTGGTTTAGTCTGACTTTCCTTCAGCTCCTATTAGGTACTGGAGAAGGAGGCAAAAGGGCAGCCTCCTGCTTTCATGTATCCATGGAAAGTAAGGGTATCAATGCTGTGAACCAACCAGATGGTCATGGCAACAGCTGTGGATGCACTGATGGACCCAAGATATGAAGTTTTCTTGAAGGAACAGGAGAGGCCAAAATAGAGGAACGAGTATGTGTATTTATCATGTTACAAAACTAAACAGCGCTTCTCCCTCTGCTAAGCTTCCTTCAGAGAGTCTTTCTGTGTTTTATTGGTGTTTACTCCCACCCGTCCATCCGTCCGTCCATCCATCCATCCATCCATCCAATCTCATCTTCCTCTTTTATTTTGTTCAGGTCCAGGTTGCAAGCGTCTTGGCATAGATGGAGACAGGGAAGCAATCCCACTAACACTACAAATCGCCTACAGCAAGGTAGGGAAGATGCTCTTCTCGTGGGCCTCCCGTGCTAGGACCTGGGTTGGGAAGGGAGACTGTTCAGGAAAGCAGAGAATGTATCCAACAACAGCAACACAAGTATAAAATTCTCAAGCACTGAGAGCAACACATGGGGAATGTATTTAATTAGAGAGAGCCAATGCTGTTAACTACAGTCTTCAGAGATTGGTACATGGAACCAAGGGACTGGAAGTAACTCATCTCTAATTTCTCCAGAGGGCAGTCAGTGGAAGGAGCCGCTGGAATGACACTGAAAAAGTTTGTACATCTGTCAACCTTAGCAAGGGGTGTAAGAGACAAGAGGAACTTGGTGAGTGTGGGCAACTATTCTGCTTCCATAAGATCAATAATAAGTGGGGGAGGAAAGACTCTTGTCGACACCTAGGACACTGACATCCCCTAAACTCTGCTGAAGATGTTACCTAGCTTGGTAATGAAACATACAGAAACCAACCCACAAGCTCAGAGAACATACCTTTACCTCATCCTACACCAGAGCTACAGATTTTTGCTACTATTGCAAACCTAGGGTTTATCTGAAGACGTGGGCAGCTGATTTGGAAAGACCCAGTCTGTGCAAAGGGGGTGTGTATTTATTAATGCACTCCTTGTTAGCTAATTTGACACTAATTTGAGAGGCAAACATTACGATTTGATACTTGTGTCCCAACATCTGGCACTAGTCCTTAATCCTTAAGCTGTGGGATTTGTCTGATGATGTTCTTATGCATATGTCATCATTTCCTCCTGCTAGTTTCCCCCTGGAAACAAAGCAGGAAGGGAAGGCTGGAGACTGATTAATCGTTATAAAAGATTGTGGGGTCCAAGGATGACCACTTGGGGACAGGATACATTGCTGTTTCTCTCAAGGCAGGAGGTACCTTCTGTCAAAGAGGCTGATGCCACAGCATGAATCCAACTCCAGGTTACCTTTTTGGCCACTTTTATGTCCCATGAAGTGCTCAGATCCAGTAATTAGGTAGCCGAGCTGACAACACAGACTGACTTCCTTTGGAGTCACCAGCTGATTGCAGATCATGCCACTAAACTGTGTCACGGGCACCTTGGCCTGCCTTGCCCGGCCAGGGTCCAAGTCAGAATGGATTAGAGCGACTTTGTTTGCCAGACAGATAAGGTTCTCCACCTCTGCAATCTGCTAGATTCATGCAGTAACAATCGTGGACACTAGATGTCATAGACTTTCCTGCTTTCAACCAAAAAAGCTTGCACTCCAGAAACCTGGCTGGCTTTAAACAAGGAAGGATTGGCTGTGGTCCAATTATCTAAGGAAATTGTATTTTTAGCCTGATAGTACAATGTGCTTACAACTTCAGATGCTTGTAATTGCACATTTAAACAAACTAGGCTAATATACCAGAAATAACTTCAATGGCCACCTAATACAGTTCACAAGTGATTTCTTGAAATAAAGTAAGGAAATTTTGTAGGAGTCCCTTAAGTTAGTAAAAAGGGCATTTTGTAACGGGAACTGGGAATTATGGAAAATGTAAGGTTAAAAGCTGAAGTAGATGAAATAGTGATATCTATGGATAATATTTATTAATTAAAATAGTTTATTAAAATGTATTTATTATCTGTCACATTACAATACTAAATATAATCTTTAAAATATAAGCTCGGGAAGATATGTGTTTGAATTAAGGAGTTTATTAGTAAACAAACTTGTAGTTTTTGCATTTATTTTCTATCTTAGCCTTTGCAGAAGGCAACAAGAAGATAATTCTTTCTTATTATTAGGCACAGATGAAGCCTTTGCACACACATTAAATAAGCTACTCAGACACTCCATATTTTAACTATTCTCTAGTGCACCTACAGCCTTGCCATTTTTCACCCAACATATTACTTCCCTTTCTTCAATATTTTCTTGGACACTAACGTTTAGAACATCTGTTCAAATTACACATTTAGATCTCTAAAATACTCCTTCCAGTATTCCCTTGTTTAAGTTTTATCCCAAATCATTTTATTATTTTTACTTTTAATTTCATCCTCATTACTGTCCCCCTTCATTTCTTTCCATTTTTTAAAATTTCTATCTAAATTTCCTCCTCATCTTTCTGTTGATGGTACATCCTATGTATGTGGCATTGAGTTGTACGCTTTCCTATAGTCAATTCAGACTGTGCTCAGATTGGTCTGTCTAGAATTGTCTTTGGCAATTAGTCTATCAATGAGCGACTGGTATTCTGAGCCTTTGGTATTGTTTCCAATACCCTTGATTTGGGCTTATGTATTGCTTGATATGGTCCTTTAGATTGGTGGCTATGATGCTTGATAGGACTTCCCATGTTGTGGTAAGGCAGATTATTGGTCAGTAGTTAGTGATGTTCTCTTGTGGGTTTTTTTCATAATTAGCACTGTCCTTCCTTGTGTTAGCCACTTTGGATGAAAGCCAGCTGGTTTATCTTTACTGGTAGGCATACTTTAGCTCAGTGATTCTCAACCTTTTTAATGCCGCGACCCCAACTGGTCGTAAGTTGAGGACTAAACCGGTCGTAAGTCGAGGACTACCCAACCGGTCGTAAGTCGAGGACTTTCCCTGCCCGGGAGCGCCGTGCATGCGTGGTTCCGCCCCCTGCGCCGGCCAAGGCATAGCTGGCAAGCAGCAGAGACGGAGCAGGCTGACCACCAGCTGGCCCAGCCCAAGGGAGGTAAGGCACCCGTCGGAAAAGGGGGGAAAAATGGTGGACAAAAAAATGGGAGACAGCCTTGCTTGGCGACCCCCATGAAATGGTCGATCGACCCCAAATGGGGTCCCGACCCACAGGTTGAGAACCACTGCTTTAGCTAATAGGTTTGGACTGTGTCTGAGTAAAGTGTTGCCCAGCTCTTTATGTTCTTGACTTGCTATTGGATGTCTGCTCTTTTGATAGTGACTGGTGTCTGTACTGGGGGATTACTATGGTCTGTCCTTAGGTTCTGCAGCCACTTTGCATTGGTGTTATGTGCCGTCTTTTTAGAACATTGTTCCAGTACTGTTCAGTTTATGCTGTTGGTGGCTCAGCTGTTATTGTGTTGTTGCATTGCAGTTGGAAGTACACTTGGATGGTTCTTTAGAGAAGAAGGATTTATCTTCTTGGTATCTGCATCTCTAGTGTATCTCCTTATCCTGGAGCCTTTATTTAGCAGTCTCTAGTCTAGGGTTTCACATGGAATCAGGCCCATGTGTTTTTTCAGTAGCTGAGTCTTATCTTCACTCCTTTTTGTAGTTCCACCAGTTGACTAATTTCTCTCTGAGTTGCTGTGTTCTTAGCCTCTAATCTTATTTTCTGTGGGAGAGTATTCTGCTATTTTTCATGTAGCCAAACATCTCCAGAATTGCAGTGGCTGTAGGGTATACCAGTACATTGGTTTGAGTTATGATGGTAATGATAGTAAGGATTGTTATGAGGACTCTACTGGCATCTTTTAGCACACTGATGGTGCTTCTCCAGTGAGTCTTAGTAACTGGTGTTGACAGTTTACAGTAGCTAGTTTATCCATGATCTTATGCCTCCTAACAACTGCGTGCTCTATAATGGAGGGGGGGTAGTGACATTCCAAGATCATGTGTTGGTTGCATATCCAGTTGTTCTTCCAGGACTTCTTGAGTCTGGAGTGTAATGTATAGTTGTTCTATCTCAAGTTGTGAGAACAGCGTTCTTGTCACTATGTTGGTGTATTGGTAACTAGTTGTTTCTTAAGTTAATGTGGATGTAGTTGTTCTGTCCATCTATAGTTCTCTCATACATTTCATATATCCCCTCATTAGGTTCATTGCTGTAGTAGAATTCCATCAATTCCAGGTTCTCTTGTCTCATCCAAGTATAGTTTGTTCTAGTAGCCCATGTATTGTCAGATTGTCCTGGTTCCCCAACATTTGCTGTGGGCCTTGTTAATTCAGGTGAAATCCAAGGTGGCATGGCTGAGTTTGTTCTTGTCACTCTCATATCTGAGATAGGCAGGTGAAACATTTAGGGTATCTTTACCCAAGGACCACTACTGTTAATGTAGGTACTTGTCAGGATTCAAAGCCTGGTCCCTTACATCAAGAACAGCATTTAACCTCTACACTATCCAGTCACTCTCCCATTTTAATATCCCATTTGCGTTTCACTGAAAAATGACTCTTTTCCCCTTACACACACATCTTCTGAAATGGACAACATATGTTCCAGTTTTTTCTGGACCTTCAGGACAGCAGGATCTTTACTCCAGCCCTTCTCATTTAATGACAAATTTTAATCTCCACGTTCTGCATCATCTAATTCAAATGACTTTAATAAGTGTTCCATGATGCAGAGACAATCATGCTAATTGAGAATGGGGTGTTGTAGTTCAGTAATTAATAATTATAGTTAGTAGGTTTGCGAAGGTTGGTATGGAAATTCCACATTTGACTATTATTCTTATTTCCTTTTTCTTCCAGGTCCAAAAACAGAATGGTTGACTCTTACTGCCACAGAGGTAATCAAGAGGCAAAGCTCTAAGTCTAAAAAGAGTTTCAATCAGGTACCTGATCAATGATGTCACCCATTGTCGCAATTGCTAAGGTTGGGGGAAGCAAAAATGTGTCTCTATGAAATAATTTCATGTATGTTTTTCTTATAGCAAATTGGTATATATCAGTTGAAAGTGGACAAGGTTCAGATCACAGGAGTTAATTGTTCCTTTGCTGTATGCCTAGATCAAGATGAACGGAAAATTCTGCAGAGTGTTACCAGGTGGGTGAGCATGGACAGCACTGTTTTTGTAGTTTGATGAGGGATAGTTAGGTTGGTAGGGTATCAACCATTCTACAAAGTGAAAAAGATGTCTTTTGGAAGCATATCAGGTTTGACCATTAATGTTTTTCTTCACTAGTATCTGCTATATGCATTACAATACCTGTTCTTTTTTCCTTGCTTCAGCTGAGTAGTGTAAGGGAACTTAGAAAGCGTTTAAGTTCTACCCAAGTCTGACAGAAATTGGATTCAATTTGTTTGCAGTTCTTATTCTTTAATCTTCAGTTATTGAGATTGCTCAGAGTAATATGATACCCTATTAGTATATTTGAATGCTGGCAGACTTTTGCAGCTCCTATGTAAGGACATGCAGAATTAGGTCTTTTGCATAAGCCAAAGAAGATTTTATAGTAGAATTAAGTGATAACATCTGACTGGATCTGCCTGGAAACATTATCCCATGTTGAATTCCTTTATTTCTGATATAGGGTTAGTATAATGGGAAAAAAGGAGAATCTCATTTAAAACACTTGCTTTGATAATCTGTTTGATCCACCTTCTGATCCATCTGGGAAGTGCAGATGATCAGAAGCCATCTGGAAAGGTTATAAGCAGGTAATGTGCTACTGCTATTTTACTATCCCAGTTGGTGTCCCACATTGGTGTACTCAATCTACAGCTTCAAAGGAAGAGGAAAACCTGTCTGATGTGTTGCTACATCAGTGTACCATTTATCAAAGGAATAATCAGTCTGTATTGTTCAATATTCTCTTCTTAGAGACATTTAGATATTTGAATTTCCACAGTATTGGGGAATGGCCCCTTCCCCCTTTCATGTCTTACATTAGAGTGACTTTGGTGTTTTGTTGTTTTCACAGATGTGAAATTTCTGCATGCTACAAACCCAAGACCAATGAACCCTGCCCCAGGGGGAATCCCACTTCATTACTTCCTCACGGAGATTCCTCTGATTTCTGTTCTCTTCTGTGCTTGCCAATTACTACTTTTAGTGGAGCACTTCCCTAAGGATACCAGAAAGAATGGACTGGCTAACCTGCCTCAAATGCTGACTGAAATTGCTGCCAAACTGAGACCAGCTTCCAAAAATTGGCCAAAAAGAAAAAAGAAAATTCAGTGTTCCTGAGTTACCTCGTTAGTCCTAGAAGGACTGCATCTTAAGCTTAGCAAATGAATATAAAGTGAGAAGCCATATCTTATGAGGTGGAATATTACTTCTTTGACTGTTGTTGAGTGTTGCTGAAATACTGTATTTGTGGGACCTGGAATAAAGGTTAAAAAAAGCACATCTGAAATGCAGAGAAAGGATAAGAAGACTGGCCAATGTATGTGAAATTTCTTCATGTGAGATGAGAGAATTGCAGTCTTTTCCTTTCCTTTTTCACAGGCATCCAAGGACATATTTGATGGGAATAGGTACTTGGCTTACAAGCCAGTTTAAACCAGCAAAGACAATGGTTAAATAAGTTCAGAGATGAGTTGTACACTTTGTTGCCATTCACAAATTGCTTTGCCAATTGCATCTTTGCATTCTATTATTTGAGCTGCTTCCTGGAGATATGGGCAAGGAGAACAAGGCAGCAGAAAAGTCTGTTTCATTTGACTATATTTCTTTCTGTACCAATGATATATCTGCAAGCATTGAATGAAATGGAACAGCAAATTTAACTAGGGAAAACATTGAGCAAAATAAGCTAGTAGGCTAGCATGATTTCATGACACATGACAAATGAATAAGAATGCTTTCCCATTTCAAAAAGTCTGGAAAAGATGATATTGTTTATTTGGTGACAAGTATTCTGATTCTTTGGAAACATTCCTCAGAAAATATGTTTTAAATATCTCCTATGATGCGATCTGTGGAACTGGGCAGTTTTGGTGATTGGTGCTTTGTCTAACTGAGGGACTCAAGATTTATACCTGATGAATACTTGCATTGGCGTGAATTGTGCCAAGCAGCCCCAGCACTTTACTGAGTGAAAAATATAAACCTCAAAAAAATCCAACATCCTTAGATTTGCAGAGGAAAGATGTAACTTGAGCTGGGATTGCTTTAAATGTTTCTGAAAAGTTTCTACCCATTTTTCGAATCCTTGATCAAATCCAATGGACTCTAATAAATCTTTGATCAACTCCAAACTTAGCAACTCTAGTTTTGTCTGAAATCCAACTCTATCACAAAGTCTTAGGGTTGGACGGTCGTGGTTATTTAAATGGTCATAATAACCATCACTAATGTGCAATGTATGGTGCTGTATTCCTGGGCAGAGGAATGTGTCTGCATGTTGGAATATTCAGGGTACACTTCTAGAGAAACAATTGTCAGTTTGGGCATGCAGGGTTTCTAGAAATGATACCCAAAGACAACCTAAAGGAAAACCACAACAATTATATTTTTCCATCCAGTAAAAAAAAAAAGAAGACTTTATTGAGTATTGTAGAACAACTAACTATAAGCTTGGAGTCTGTTGGAGTTAGGTTGCATATAAACTGTAAATGAATAAACAAACGTGCAACTGAGAAATGTAAGAATAATTGAGATCCCTTTTCATCATCTACTTATTTAAAGTAAATCATTTAAAAAATTATCCACTTTTTCAAAAAGGTCAAGCTTAATAAAAAAAAAACATTTGAATGGTGTTCAGAAAGAAAAACTAAATCCAAAGAATAGTAAGAACATTTTAAAAGCTCATCTACTTTTTGTACTGTAGTGACTTAGTTTAAAACACACACTGTCTGCTTAATATGAACATCACTTCCAAAAACATTTCCTCCAAGAATAAGGAAAATCTGAAAAATCCTATTCATTTAAGCACAATTCCTAGAATGAGATGCAATGCAATTTCTTCCAAAATATTCTTCAATATCAGCTTCAGTTGTAAGGAAATACATTGGTGAAAAATTGTGATGGGAAAGTGTAATTTCAATTCCTCTTCTAGATAGTAATCAATAGATAGCACACAAACTATTGAATGCCATAATGTGCTGATTTAACAGCTTGGTGGTTTGTATTGCTTTTTAATCTTTTAGTTTTATTCCTTGACTAATTTTTTCCTCTGGTTCATTTTTAAAAAATCTTATTTTCTCAGGACCATCTGAGTGTATCTGACATAAATAGCCAGTTAAACAGACAGCAATCTGCCAAACAGCACACAACACTTTGGTTTTTAATAACTGCAAAGGAATTAAATATTTCTGTGACCAATGCAAAACTTTTCAATTAAAATCAAGTATGTACAGTATATGTGTGCAGAGCTTTTTCTTAATAAAGATAAGAATTGCCCTATGGAATGAATCTTTATGTAAATATTCTGTACATTTTTATGATCTGGTTTTATAAAAATATATTTTAATGATGGCTGTAAAATTATTTGTTTAATAAAGGACATTTTCCTAATTCATGACTCCATCTAATTTTTTAAACAAAGTTATGGGCTACTTTGTGGGAAACTTCACTGGATGTGCAATCCTCGAGAATAGTTTGACGCTAAAATGAATAAATCATTAAGTTACTTTTTAGCTCAGCGTTCTGTTAAAATGAAGTTCACATCTATGGAAATAGATGGCATAAAACACCTAATGTAAATTCCAGTAAAACCTTTCTCATCATTAAAAAATTATGTTATGACTTTTCTTGCTAGTTACTGTAATAGATGTGCTAAGAGATCTCTCCATATGTTTTAAACAAACATTCACGTTGAGATTCTTGCAAAAGTGTATTTTACTTAATGTTGATTAATTATATAATGTGAATTTAGTTGTGATATATAAAAGAAATGTATAAGATATTTATCATCCAAAAGCTCTAGGTGAATAATATTACCTTATATAATAGTGCTATTTTACCTTATCTAACAATTTTCAGTGGCCAATGCATGATTTTTTAAAAATCCCACAGAAATACTCTTTTCCTCCAAAAAAAAATCTTTAAAAGAGTTTCCAAAATTACTATGGATATTCAAATGTTTAGTCAAATATGGTAACTTTGTATATCTTTGATCTAGTGAGATCTTTGGAACAATAAAATTCAATAATCCACCACTCAGAGTCAAGACAGGAACCAAACTAGCTTTGGATTTATGTCACTGAAACCCATGCTCTAAACTAAGAAGATTGTGTTGGTTTTTGGCAAGGTCCCTATTCTGCACAAAGAGCATTTCCAAGTTCCACAGCTGACTCTGGAGCCTGATTGATTTTAGGCAGATGGATGTTGAGATTCAAAAGCCTGGAACAGTTTGAGCCCTTCTGTATGATTCTCCTTCCTGACCCTTTTGATCAGGAAGGCAAAGAGTTCTAATTTTAATTTCCAGTGTTGGGGAAACATCACACAGAACGTTTTCCAAATCCACGCATAGGTGACCTATAGCAGTGGTTTCCAACCTTTTCTATACCTCGCACCCCTACAACGCTTCTGATATATTCTCGCACCCCTTACAAAAGTTCAAATTATGCATATACACTATAATTTTGAAAACCCAAGTTTACGCACCCCCTGGAATATCATCTCGCACCCCTGGTTGAGAACCCCTGACCTATAGGATCTGCCAATGATACATGGGACAGAATACTCAATATTAAAGACTCATCTCATCCTGGACATTCTTTTTTTGAACTATTACCATCTGGCAGACAGTATAGGATAATAAAAACAAAGACAAATAGTTAAATACTACTGTATAGTGCAACATTGAAGTGCAACATTAGGGACAGTGCAATGGTGAATAGAATGTGAAGGATGTGTGTATATAATGTATGTTATTTGTGGTTTTTACTTGTGTGTTGTGTGCACTGTGGACAGCACTTAATTTCATTGTGAGTTACACAATGACAATAAAGATATTCTATTCTATTCTATTTTCTATTCTATTCTATTCTATTGATTTCCATTTGTCAGACATATGGTTTTTAGGGGATAACAATGATATGAGGCAGGCATGTCACAGGACAAATGAACGAGGTAGGGTAAGATATCATAATGAAAAGTCAGCTTGATAATTCTTTGTCAATAATCCATGTTAATTTTCTGAATGCATCGACAAATCATGACTAAAGCTCTGAGCACTTTTAAAATGATTCTGCTGTGCTCTAACATTTTTTTTTTAATTTTCTCTACTTAAAAAATACTATGGAAAAATTCTTACTGTTTAGAAGAAGTATAGCATCCTGATCGGCAGTTCATATTCAGCGCAGCTCTTGTTTTTCCTGTCACTGGGCCAACCCTGCAAACTCTACTTCTTCCTCTTTCCTTTAAGGAAATGATTTCAAATTACTTATTTAATCATTCAGGCCTCTCTCCTTGTATTTAACAATATCAGAAAAAGGAGGGAGGGTTGTTGTTGAAATTCAGCATCCTCTTCCTTGCATCTTTCATTATGGATAATCTTCTATAGTGATGAAATTATCATCTGCCAGCTACTAGCATATATCGATATTTTTCAGACATGCAACCTCCCTTGAGCATTTGTAAACTAAGATTTCTCAGAAAGACAAATGCAATATTAGAAATGACAGAAATCCAATTTATTACAAAGGGGGATGTCTGCTGCTTACAAGTATAATCAGTATAATAAAGCCTTAAGTTTTCTAGATATATTAGAAAAAAAATTCCAGTTCACACCTCTGGCTCCAGAAATGAAGGGGCCCAACCTGTGGTTAATTGTATGGCTCCAAGACCTAAAGAGGAAAAATGTAGCACTTTGTCAGGTATAAATCACAGATTTTATATTTCCCTTGTTGGGGGATTAGTGGGTGACATTATCTGCATTTTTAATCATCCACCGTACATTTGAGGACTAAAAACTGACAAAAATACAAATCTAAGAAAAGAACTCTAATTAACCTGTTAAGACACTGCGCACAGGCTTCTGTAATACAAGGCGTATTGTCAAATTAGTTTTTTCCACAGTTAGTCATTTTGTACTGAAGCCATAGAAGTGATGAAAGATTCTCAAAAGGCATGCTAGTGAACATTAAGCCAGACACAATGATGCCATGGTTCCACAGAAGCTGCTTTATTATGATTCTCGACATCTGAAAAATCCACATATTTGGGAGTTATCCAGCTCTTAGA